AGAGAGAGAGAGAGAGAGAGAGAGAGAGAGAGAGAGAGAGAGAGAGAATGAGATATCCACCATTTTAAAAAAAGAACAGGATGGAACATCATTTAAAAAGGAGAAGCCATCTGAAGAGCTTCAGCTCTCTTATTGGCCAATTAACTGACAATATATCATCCTTGGTAGATGGAGCCTTTTTTGGGAGCAAAATCACGAGTCAGTGAGAGGTGAAGCAAACTGATCATGGGACTACTTACCTCCGATCTAGTATGAAGTGATCTCCCTGTGGGTGGAAAAGAAAATCACAATTCAGTTTGTTCTTGTTGGCATTTTCAAGATAATTTTTCTTCTTCTTTGCATTCGCTGAAAGCTGCATTATGATCATTTGAGCTACAGCGTCAGTCAGTTTTATTTACTGCATGTAAAGATATGTGACGCTGCGTTGACGTGGACCTCGGCGCACCTGCTCAACTAAGTCTGGTTGTAACATTTGGACTCGATAGATTTGGCTCCACATCAGAGAGAAAAAAATAAATTCATAAATCCAGCGGCGGTAATTGGTAGCGAGAAATGCGACTGAATTTGCACATGAATAGAGACGACACAAAGATTTGTGCAACATGCCCCCCCCCCTCCTCCTCCCTCCCCCGCCTACACAAACAGCTCTCACATCATGTGCGAATATCCTTTCTCTGGCTCGCTGGTACTCCTCCTCCCTCTCCTCCATCGATTTGCTCCTCTTGTCAGCTTTTAAACGCATTCGAATCTGGCGAGGACACACACACAAATGTCAGGGATGCCAGATTGTCCCACTCTTACCAACATGTCAGAAATGAAAGTGACAGCTTGGTAGAAAGAAAAAAAAACATTCTTACACACACACACACACACACGAAAATAAAACACCTACCGAGCTGTCTTCGCGATCAAAGCTGGAGTTGTCTCGTTTGAGAATGTAGCGTTTCTGAAAATCGTCCGCCCTGTCGTCCTTGATGTGCTCCGAGAATTTCTGATCGGGTCTGTCGGTGAGTGGGGAAAGGGGGAGATACACAAGTTTTCAGCGGCGGCTTAATTTCGAGCAGACGCTGACAGCGAACATATGTTCACCAACAGGCAAACTTTACCGATCCATCGATGGGCTGCGACCATTTAAATTCAGGACAGTGTAGTGCAAGGGGCTCACATTCTAGTGTTGGTGGTTTTGTTGATCACCACCGACTTCCCACTGGGGTCCACGTTGTGGTCCATGCCGAAGTAGGCGGCCACTCGGTGGAGCAGCATCCTGTGGTAGGACGTCATGGGTGGGAACTTTCTCTTATGGCTTCTGGAGGGAGACACCGAGGCGGTTCACGGATAAGTAGAAGTCTGTTGTTCTACACCAACACCACTACTTCTGTAATGTTGATCAATATTTCATACTTCCAAAGACACTAAAAGGAGACTTCCATGACCACAGGCAATAGTAAGGTCAGCTGCTAAATAATATCTAAATCATTGTGTCTTACTCATTATTGCTGATGAAGTCCAAGATGTCCTGTTCCAACTTCAGTAGCATGATTCGATCCCTAAATAGATAAATGACACACATTGAGGTTGTTTTTGAGACATCTGAAACGCAAAAATACTTATAAAAATAATTATTACTTGTTAGGTCATAAGAAACATAATCAATGATCAGATAGTAGTAGTGAGTTCCCTAAAGGCCCGGTCACAGCAGAAAGTAGCACAATAAAATCCATCTCTGTGTCTTCATAGGGCTAGTTGGTGAATACTGTAGCTAGAAAGCTAACGGCTAGCATGCTAGCCAGCAGGGATCAAGCTACTCTAAGGCCCGATCCCAATGTCCCCCCTGAACCCTACGTCCCAAACACTACATCTCAAACCCTGAACACTACATCTCAAACCCTCAACACTACATCTCAAACCCTGAACACTACATCTCAAACCCTGGGGACTTTTTCTTTTCTTTACTACCGAGGCAATTCAAGCTCAGTCAGGGATCTCAACGTCTTCCAGGTCAAATAATCAATTTACTGTTTTTTTTGTCAAAACAGTATCATGAACCAAGGATTTAGAAAAAATAAACTCCATGATGAATAAATCATGTGTGTAAAATAAATAAATAGCCTATGCTTGCATCTCCACCAGCACACCCAGTACTTAACACTGAACAAAGGACTAAACATCACAGTGTACAATATCCGTAAAGGTAGACTATGCATTCAGTACTCCAGGCGGGACCGGGGCTTTACGCTCAAACGATGACTTCCTGGGGGTCTCTGAGGTGTGGGTGTGGAGCGTACCTGGGGTTGCCCTTCAGCGTGTTGACCAGGAACTCGTGGAGATCTATCCCAGTTGAATCTGTGTAGTCTTGACTGGAATCTAACCAAGAGAGACACACATGACGTTCAGAGATTCCACCCTAAAAGTTAGCTGCTACAAACTTAATTTTCTGAATATAATGTCATTCATACGAATATTAATAATACGTTCCGGGCCGTTATCGCCACAAATTAAAGATAAAACGCCCGTCATTCAACTATTTGTGAAGAAAAAAAAGGAAATGTCAGACCACACGTCTGAGGGTGACATTGCTATTTGGTGGTTGTTATTGGTGTGACCAATATGGAAGAAGAAAAATTAATCTGGCAGCTTGTATCAGCAGCAGTGAGCTCTGCCAGCTGAACCATTTAAGAAATGAGGAAGTGGTCGGGTAACGAAGTTGACACCAAAAAAAAAAAAAAAAGCCCATGTAGGAGCGACAAAAAGGATGGGACCCATGGGTGGGAGGGGGGGGCATGTCTGGTGGCTATAATTGGCGGCTGCCTCATCAGCGGTGTTGCTCCGCAGAGGCGAAGCGGACACCTTTTACTCCGCCTGTGGGAATCCGTATAATTGCTTAACACCTTGAGCTCGTCGCAATTAACTGAATCACGGCAATTATCGGCCCGTAATGAGATATCATTTCCAACGCGGGAGCGCTTTCGGACAAACCTGAGGGCACTGACGAAAAACAAAAAAAAGAAAAAAAGTTTATTTTTGGTATAAGATATAATTATAAGGATGAGAAGTGACATTGATTATCATTAAAGCATCTGGCTTCATTTTAAGTGA